TTCTATCAACGAATCATATAAACGCCATTGGTGCATTGGGCCATTTATTGGTCCAACATCGCTCTCACTCCAAAATCAGTTCTGTGATAACAGTCACATTTGCTATGGTTTGGACATGTAATCAGAATGTCACTCATAAGGATGTAGAGACTCATAGCGTGGACTCTTCATGAAAAACAGCTAGAAACAGACTACGGCTCAGATGGTTGAATTATGCAGAATACCTTGCAGTTGTACATCTCAGAATTCAACCCATGACATTGATTGCCGGATTATTGAAGCTGTTACAGGTCTTTCTAATTCAACTGTTTCGCCCCCTCTGTAAAGAAACAATGGTCACTAAACCTGAGTAAATATGTAAAGAAATGAACGAATAAAAGAGTAAAGGAATGAATGAGTGCAAACAAACGACCAATGCGATTGTCCTTTGAGGATTTGTTTACAACTCGGTCGTTTGATTACTCTTCCACCCGATTCTGTACTTGGGCACGCACTGAAGATTCCAGCGTTCGTCAACAGCTCGTTTTTATTGTGTGGAAGAAGGTTGGAGCTTCACGTACATGGCCTCAAGTACTTACTGACATTCATGACCCGGAGGCAACCAGTTTTGCTAACGTAAACCGGTGCGATATTTAATGATCAGTTGCTTCCTGAAATTTCAATCACCAGTGACATTGAACAGCGTGTAATTGACTTGAAGCACATATTCGTCATGGCGACTGCTGAGAATATCGCGTTGCCAATTTGCCTCATGAGGATTCGCCAGACCTTCGAATTGCTCTCTGTGGTATAACTTCTGCTAGAATAGTCAGAAATGAGGTTCAGAGTGAATTAAAGAAGATGCAGAAGGAAAACCGAAAGTCGGTGTCAATTTTTCTGCAATTTTTTATATTAATTTTAATTAATCAGATCACGAGAGGACGATGTGTTCTTGTCACCGGCACTCAGAGAGTGATGCAGTTCAAGAATGGAAGTTTGAAAGCAATATAACACCTGAAATG